GCCTGAGCCTCTGGGGGCCAACAGTCGCCTCGGGGCTGTAAAACGACGGCCCTCGGGCGTTCGTGGCATAGGGGGGGGGGCGGTCCACTCTGCGGAGGACCTCTGCCGCGCCCCGGCGAGGGCTCGTCAACCCTTTGGCGCGGCGTGGTGACCCCCCAAGCCCCAATGGCGCCGATCGCAGACCCTCCCCCGGAGTAACCACACCCGCACATGGGCGGGGGGGGCCACTCTGGGGGGGAGGAGAAGGAACGCGCACCTTCCCAGCCCCCTCTGGGCGGGCCACTCTCTAGTGCAATCCTCGGTCCTCCCCCCCTGGACTGACCCCCCCGCTGCCGAGCGGCCGTGCTGGCCCCGGGAACGGGAACAAATATGCAGGGGCCCGCGCGGGGAAGCAGCCGCGAGGTCGGAGGTCTGGGTCGCGCGTGCGGAGGGCCGGGGCGTGCCCACCCTGCCAGGCAAGGGCCGAAGGCCAGAGAGGCACGCGGCGCAGCCTGAGACGAAGCCAGGACGAGGACAACATCGGGTGAGGATACGTGGGGGATCTCTTAGATCCGGCGGCTCCGAAGGATACCTCGGGCGCCGCAGCCTTCCCAGAGCGTTCCAGAACGCTCCAAGAGCGTTCTGGAGGGCCCTGGAACGAATTTTTCTTGAGCAGGGACCGACCGTCCCGGCATTAGAATCGGCCTACCACGACCTGTTCTTAGAACCCAAGCACGTTCTAATAGCAAAAGCAAGTTATTGGTAAATAAGCCCAATGAAGTAAAACAAGAGGCTCTCAGCAAGACGTGTTCTAAGAACGTCTCGTGCAACAGAGACTCGTGGGCCTGTAGGCTAGCCAGGACTCCTCGCCACTGCTTGATTCGGCTACACGCAAGAGCGACCCTGGGTCAGAATGACCTTTGGTGCGCGGCTTTTTAGGGGCCGCGGCGGGGGACCAATCCCGGGCGCGCAAGCCGCTGCTACCGCTTCGCGTTCGGCGACCGGGTGGCCCCCTAGGGCCCGCACCAAAGGTCACTCCGGCGAAAGGTCACTCTTACGTGTACAGTGCGGGCGCGGCCGCAAGAATCCCTCGCAAGAAACCCATCCCTGAGGACCCGTGCGCGAGGTACACCTGAGGGGAAACCCGGAGCACCCTGAACGCAGCAGCTCCTTCAACTGCTGCGGGAAGTCACCGCGCAGCGCGAGGAGCGAAGAAACCCAGGATACCCTGACTCGAAAAGCATATGGTTTCTTGATGCGCGCCCCCACTGTAGTCGATTTATCCTCGTCCTGGCCCCGTCCGACGACGGGCGGCTCGGGCTCCAGCGACGGCCGGCTGGGGCGGAGGCTTGTCCACGAGCTCCTGCACGTAGTTCTCCCCGAAGTGCCGGTGGCCGGCGCTGTACGCCTCTGGCCGCGGCGGCCCGCCCCGCCGCACCATGATTGGGTCGGGCATGTTTTCCTACAGGCGGAGTTTGAAGACGAATCAAACATAGCCAAAAATACCCACAAGTAGTCAAGAGAGGGCGACAAATCGTCCCCCAGACTATTGCTCTCCTATTCTTGAGTCTTCCTCCTGTCGAAGGACACGCCCGACTTAACACCAGGACCACCAGGGGTGGCGGAGGGGGGGGGGCGCGGGCGGCCATGCGCACGCGCGGAGCTTTGCGCCTGGCTGGCCACGCCTCCGAGGAAAACGCGCGGGCAGGCCTCCAAAGTCGGCGGCTCCGAGGGTTGTGTCTTGCAAGGGGCGTGGTTCCCTCCACCTCCGCCTTCCACCCTCCCTAGCTTCCATACCTTACATACCTTCGATGAATTCTTCTGCACCTTCGAAGGTGCGGGAGAATTAGTCGAAGCTCATGGAAACCTTACGAATCCCACCAGCCCTTTGGGCGTGAGTGGTTTAGAGAGCCCGCTCTGTTCTCAACCCCCTTTCCCCTTAGGGGAGGGGTTTACCCCTCCCCCTACCCCCTCCCCCTGGGCCTGGAGATGGCGCCCCGCGGGTGGTTGGAGGGGTCTTGTTCGACTCCTGGGAGGGCTAAAAAACGACACCCCTCACGAGGATTCTGGCCCCGACAGGGGGAGGCAGAAAAATGCTCCCCTCTTCTTTGAAGCCAAAATCATTGATTTTACTACGGTTTTGGCACCATTTTGGCCTTCTGAGGGGGCAGCGCTAATTAAAGCTCCCCTCGTCTTTCAAGCCAAAATCATTGATTTCACTAAGGTTTTGGCCCCATTTTGGCCTTCTGAGGGGGCAGCGCTGATTAAAGCTCCCCTCTTCTTTGATCGATTTCCTCCAAGATGGCCCCAAGAAGCGCCCAGGAGGCGCCAAGAGGCCCCAAGATGACCCCAAGAGGCCCCCAGGAGGCCCCCAAGAGGATCCCAAACGGCCCAAAGAGGCCCCCCCGAGGCACCCAAGACGCCGAAAAGCCCATCAGGACGACCCTCTACTCGCCTGGGCGTCGTTTCTGGACGGGCAGGAGGAGGGGCCCGAACGACTCACACCAGGACGAGGGGCCCGAACAACTCACACCACGAGAAGCCCGAACGACTCACACCAGGACGAAGAGCCCGAACGACTCACACCACGAAGAGCCCGAACGACTCACACCAGGAAGAAGGGCCCGAACGACTCACACCAGGACGAGAAACCCCAAACGACTCAAACCACGAGGAGCGCTTTCTCTCCCTCCTCCTCCGCCTCGTCCTTCTCCCGCTCCCACCACAAGGAGGATGTACAAGGAGGCGGGAGGAAGGAGGAACAGGGGAGATATGCGGGGGCAGGCGGACACACGCCTGAAAAACACGACTGTCGGCATGCTTCGCTAGAGTTGCTGTTTTGAGATGGGCTGGTGGGGATACGCGAAGCGTGAAGAATTTGAAGGACACCCACGTAGATCAGATCGACAAATGGGCGGAAAGAAAAGGTTCGGGCGGAAGGTTCGGAAGAATGAGGGGGATGATGTGCCACCCGCACATGGGCGGGGGGGAGGGGGGGAGGAGGGGGCGGGCGAAGCCCTCGACAGAGATCTCTGCCGCGCCCCGGCGAGGGCTCGTCAACCCTTTGGCGCGGCGTGGTGACCCCCCAAGCCCCAATGGCGCCGATCGCAGACCCTCCCCCAGAGTAACCACACCCGCACATGGGCGGGGGGGGCCACTCTGGGGGGGAGGAGAAGGAACGCGCACCTTCCCAGCCCCCTCTGGGCGGGCCACTCTCTAGTGCAATCCTCGGTCCTCCCCCCCTGGACTGACCCCCCCGCTGCCGAGCGCCCGTGCTGGCCCCGGGAACGGGGCCGAATATGCAGGGGCCCGCGCGGGGAAGCAGCCGCAGGTCTGGGTCGCGCTCGGGGATCTTCTGACCCGGGTCAATCCAGACCCGGGTCAGCAGGAAACCAAACAAATTGCAATGCAGGAAAAAAAAGCTGCACCGCAGGTCTTCGCAAACCCGGGTCAGCCAACATGCGCGGCCGCCTCGCGGCCACGAGCGGCTCGCTAACCCTGGTCAGCCAGAGGGGGTCTCCGCAGGATCCTGCAGGATCTGGTGCTCTGGCTGACCCCCGTTTGCATTAAGTCGGGCGTGTCTCCCTACAGGGGGATTTTCGACGAACAATAAAACATACCCCCCAAAATAATAAAAAAGTAGGCCAAAAATAGTCTGGGACTTTTTCAAATATCATTTTTTCCTTTTTGGGATTTTTCTTTGGGTATTTTTTATTTTCCGTCGAAAATCCACCTGTAGGGGCGTGGTGCAGCCGGCCCCTGGGGCCCAGGGGCGCGCGCGCCCCGCCAGGCAAGGCCCGAGTCGGCCAGAGAGGCGCGCGGCACGCGGCCCGGCCCGAGACGAAGCAAGGACGGACGAGGATCACACCGGGCGAGGATAAAGTCGCGATCCCGGATCCTCGATCGAGGGCTCCTGGGCCCTGGATCCTCGAGCCTGGATCCTGGAGCCTGGATCCTCGATCGAGGGCTCCTGGGCCCTGTATCCTCGAGCCTGGATCCTCGATCCTGGAGCCTATCGAGACCCGCCGGGCGATGGGCGAGGGCCCGCGGGCGAGGAGAGGAGGGCGCAGGGGCGAGGATTGCGTTGGGCATGTCCCCCTGCAGGCGGATTCGTGGCGAACAATTAAAAATCATATCCAGAGATATTCCAGAAGTGGTCACAAAAATGCGAACAAAAAAACGTCCCCGGACTATTTCTTGCTATTTTTGAAGAAAGCTCCTCCTGTAGAGGGACAGGCCCGACCGATTTAAGCGCAGGGTTAGGTCGGGCGTGTCCCCCTACAGGGGGGTTCTCGACGAACAATAAAACATACTCCAAACATACACCAACATGGTCAAACAAATACTTTAAACCAAAAATCCCCCGGCGATTTTTCTGCTATTTTTGAAGTTCCCCCCTGCAGAGCGACAGGCCTGACTTCAGCGCGGGGGCGAGGAGCGCGGCGCCCCGCCGCTCGCTGCCCAGTGGTGAGGGCCCGGGGGGGGGGGACAAGCGAGCAGCCCAGCGGCCCGATTGGGGTACCGTCAGGTCGGGCATCCCAGGCCCCCTCGGGTCACGAAAAAGTCCTCCTCCTCCTCCTCCTCCTCCTCCAAACATCATGACGGGAGGCTTGTCCCCGTTTTCGGCCTCGGGGGGCCCGTACCGGCCCTCGGGACCGTCAACAAACGACTCAGGATGGAAAGCCGGGGAATGGGTCGAGACCTCTGGGCGTCGACATCGTGAAACAATCATGGCGCCGGGGGTCTGGGATGCCCTCCTACAGGCGGATGTTGGAATGAGAAGAACAAGAAGTCAAACAATGCTCGAGACTAGCCAAAAATAGTCGAGGAATCGTCCCCATATTCTTTGCTACTATTTTTGAATATTCTTCCTTCGGACGGACATGCCCGACGTAAAGAATAATCAGGTCGACTGCTTCTTTGAATGCTATGTTTGAATATTCCTCCTTCAGACGGACATGCCCGACATAAAGAGTAATCAAGCCGACTAATTCTTTGAATACTATTTTTGAATCTTCCTCCTTCGACTGGACATGCCCGACGTAAAGAGTAATCCGGCCGATTATGGTTTAAACTACTATTGTGAATACTCCTCCTTCAGACGGACATGCCCGACGTGAAGAAAAATCAGGTCGACTAATTGTTTAAATCGTATTTTTTGAATCTTCCTCCTTCAGACGGACATGCCCGAAGTAAAATGTAATCAGGTCGAATATTGTTAAGAAACTATGTTTGCATACTCCTCCTTCAGACGGACATGCCCGACGAAAAGAAAAATCAGGTCGACTATTGCTTTGTAGTACTATTTTTGAATATTCCTCCTTCAGACGGACATGCCCGACGTAAAGAGTAATCGCGTCAACAATTTCTTGAGAACAGCAATTTTTGAATATTCCTCCTTCAGACGGACATGCCCGACGCAAAAGGTAATCAGGTCGACTATTTGTTTGCATACTATTTTTGAGTATTCCTCCTTTTGACGGAGATGCCCGACGTAAAGAGCAATCATATCTAGTAAGGTTTTAATTTATATGATTGAACGCCTCCTTCAGACGGACATGCCCGACGTAAAGAGTAAGCAGGTCGACTATTTCTTTGAAAATACTATTTTTGAATGTGCCTCCTTCAGACGGACATGCCCGACGTAACGAATAATAATCTCGACTGATTCATCGAATGCTATTTTGGGTTATTCTCCATTCAGACGGACATGCCCGACGTAGAGAGTAATCGTGCCGACTAATGTTGTAATACTATTTTTGAATACTCCTTCAGAAGGACATGCCCGACGTAAAGAGAGATCAGGCCGACTATTTGTTTGAATGCTATGCTTGCGTATTCCCCCTTCAGACGGACATGCCCGACGTAAAGAGTAATCAGGTCGGCTATTTTTTGGGTACTATTTTTGAACACTCCTCCTTCAGACGGACATGCCCGACGTGAAGAGTAACCCAGTCGATTATTGTTTAACTACTATGTTTGAATATTCCCCCTTCAGACGGACATGCCCGACGTAAAGAGTAATCGGGTCGACTGCGTTTATTTTCTTCGTCATATTTTTGAATATTCCTCCTTCAGACGGACATGCCCGACGTAGAGAGTAATCGTGCCGACTAATTTTGCGACACTATGTTTGAATATTCCCCCTTCAGACGGACGTGCCCGACATGAAGAGTAATCAGGTCGATTATTGTTCAAATGCTATTTTTGAATATGCCTCCTTCGGACGGACATGCCCGACGTAAAGAGTAATCAGGTCGACTCGTGTTTGGTCTCTTCGAATGTCTTGTCTGCACCCCAAGGCCTCTGACGCCCTGCTCTTTTCAGGACGGGGCTATACCCTGGACCTCCCGACGCCTCCCCGGAAACCGAAGCCGGGCCAAGGCTGCCAAATCCGTGGCTGCCAAAATCGACCTCCGGGAAACTGTCTTCGTCCTTCCGGGAAGAAGCCCGTTGACCTTTTCGCGTGCCGCGCCTCATTCCAGGGAGGTTGTTTTTCCCTTCCGGGAGGGCCGTTTTGGCAGCCACGGTGTTGGCAACCCTCGCCCAGCTTCCGACAGAAGCCGTGTTTTTGTTTGTCACAGGCGAACTTTTTCCGATGTCCCGGGGCTGACATTCGGCCCCACGAGGGTTAGAAGTACAGTAGGAGCTTGACCACACGAAGCCTTCCACAAGAAACCCAACCCTGAGACCCTGGGACGTCCGTGGATTTGTGGTGCGGGAGCGTCACGCGCTCCAAAGCAAAGCCATCGAGACACGATAAAACCAGGGCGCCCTGGGGGCAAGCAGTGTGTTTCTGTGCATGGGTCTCCACGGGTCAGCGTTCTCTTGTTCGGCGTTTCGACATTGGGCGGAAGAGGGAGGGTAAGGGGGGGTCTGGCTCCGAACCTCTGCTTAGTGCGGCTATTTGTAGGAGTGCGTCCTATGGGGGAGAGAAAGCCCACCTGAAACAGCTAAGATCTACTCCATGGGGGGAGGGGGGGTGCGAGGGCGCCGATCGGCAAAGCAATGAATAAGAAAACGATCACCTGTATGGCCTCGGAGGGTGTGTTTGATAGTCTAGCTGGCCCCTCTTTGGCTGCGCGCGCAAGGGGGTAGGGGGAGGGGGAAGGCTTCTTAGAAGGCGGCTGCTTATTAGAAGGCGCCGGCCTTGCATCTCTAGAGAAGGCCCGCGCCTTCTGAGAAGCAGGGGTTCTTCTAAGAAGCCTTCCCCCCTCCTCCTACCTTAGGGGATGGACAGACGCCACTTTCGTAAAGCGTGGTCTGGTGAAAACGACCTCGGGCCCAAACCTGGCGCGCGCAAGCCTGGAACATGACGGCCGCGGCGCCCTCTCGAGAACCGAAAACGGACAATTCACTCATCGACGTGTCAGGGTGGAGCGGAGGAGGAGGGGGAGGAGGAGGAGGAGGAGGAGGAGGAGGAGGAGGAGGAGGAGGAGGAGGTGGGGAAGGAGGAGGAGGAGGAGGAGGAGAGGAGTAGGGAGGAGGAGGAGGAGGAGGATGAGGAGGAGGAGGAGGAGGAGGAGGAGGGGGAGGATGAAGGAGGATGTAGGAGGTAGGAGGAGGAGGAGGAGGAGGAGGAGGAGGAGGAGGAGGAGGAGGAGGAGGGGGAGGGGGAGGGAGGAGGCGGGAGCGGAGGAACGGGAGAGGGGGAGGAGAAAGGGGGAGGAGGAGGGGAGGAAGAAGGGGGAGGAGGAGAAGGAGGAGGAGGAGGAGAGGAGGAGGAGGAGGAGGAGGAGGAGGAGGAGAGGAGGAGGAGTAGGAGGAGGAGGATGGGGAGGGGGTTGAGGAGGGGGAGGGGAAAGGGCGAGGGGAGGAGGAGGGGGAGGACGAGGGGGAGGAGGGAGGGGGAGGAGGACGAGGAGGCGGAGGAGGGGGCGGAGGAGGAGGAGGAGGAGGAGGAGGGAGGAGGAGGAGGAGGAGGAAGGAGGAGGAGGAGGGGGCGGAGGAGGGGGAGGGGGAGGGGGAGGGGGAGAGGAGGGGGATGAGGAGGGGGAGGAGGGGAGGAGGAGGGGGAGGAGGAGGGGAGGAGGAGGGCGGGAGGAGGAGGGGGAGGAGGAGGATCCTGCGTTTACCGGACCCCTGCCTTTCAGGAAGGCGGGGACATGGCGGGCCTCTAGCAGCATCTCCACAGGCTTCGTCTTGCTGACCGCAACCAGGCGCACCGGCCCATCCAGCGCCTTCCCGATCTTCTCTTCCCTGGCCGCGCACGCCAGCCGTACCTTGCCGGCTGCGGCAACCTCCTCCTCGGCTCCTCCTCGGCTCCTCCGCGGCTCTTTCTCCTCCTCCTCCTCCTTCTCCTCCTCCTCCTCCTCCACCTCCTCTTCGTCCTCCCTCCCCTGCCTCACAATCATCGTGCGCTCTGCTCCTTGCGGCCGGGGACTTTCGGATCGTGTGCCGCGGCAGCGGCCGCGGCGACACGCTGTGCCGTGCAGGCGCATCGCTGGTCGCTCCGCTGGGCGGGGCGGGAGGCTGGGAGAGGCTCGAGACGTCGACGCTGGGGGACCGGGACATGGACAACGCGTCGCGCCAGAGCGTGGCGGGTCAGACCCTGCGGGGCGACACACCAGTCACAACTGCCCGACCGTGGCCGGGCTTGCCACCGAGGGCGCCTACTCTCTCTACAGGGGCAGTCGTCGGGGTTCGACGGAGACTCTCTGACAGTCCCGGTGGCTGCGTGGTCGGGGCTGGCATTAGGTCGTGCATGCCCTCCTACAGGCGGATTTGGGAGGGAGAAATAACAGATATTCATATTATTTCAAATATATTCAAAACGATCGAAAAATCGTCGCCAGACTATTTGTCCGAATTTCCCACCCGTAGAGGGACATGCCCGACTTAACTCTGGTTCGCCATCTCTGCAAGAGCAAAACTGGAAATCTTGGTCTCCCTCTGCGGTGTCGCACTCCACGTGCCCACCCCCGCGGGCCGAGTGAACCCAGTTTGACGGGCTCTGCCTTGCCCGGAGACGCGTGCGCCTTGAGAGCTGCGTACTTCCGTGATGCATGGCTTTCATACGACCCCCGAGTGCATGAGGGGCAAGGACAGGGGGGAGATAGGCATAAGGGGGGAATGCATCGACCTGGAATCGGCGATGCATCGCCGATGGATCGGCGACGGGCCCCTGATAGTGAATCCGCACCTTCCTGGGCAGCTTGGGGCTATCGGGCCCCTATCGGCGATTAGTGCGCGATTGCGTGTCGATGCATCCCTCCCTGTGCCCATCCCCCCTATCTCGGGAGCGGCCAAGAGAGGGGTGTCCAAGAGGGGGGGGTGCAAATCATGACCGGCGGCACGTGCGCGGCCCAGGGGGTGGGCCAGGGACGTAATGGAATAAGAAGAGGCGCTATGAAATCTGGGGAGATCTCGTGGCCCACGCCATGATATCCCCCCCCCCTAGTCATCGCCCCCGTCTTTGCCGCCCCCCCCATCGTTGCCCCCGAAGTGCATGCCTTCGTCATGCCGGGAGGGCGCACGAACAACCACAACACATCCCCGCCCTGGGCAGCTTGGGGCCATCGGGCCCCTATCTGCGATCAGTGCGCGATTGGGGGTCGATGCGCCCCTCCCTGTGCCCATCCCCCCCCATCGTTGCCCCTGAAGTGCATGCCTTCGCCGTGCCGGGAGGGCGTGCGAACAACCACAACACATCCCCGCCCCCTCCCGGGCCAGCAGCCGAGGCCTCCCTCTGGCAAGGGGCTGCACAAGCAACCCGCAGCATGAGGGTGCACGGCAATGACGGCGCCCAGGGACACACACATAAATAAATAAATACACACAAACCGACTTTCCATTTTTTTCGGCACAAGGAGGGCGCCCGGGGACACACACACACATAAACACACACACATAAACACACACACAAACAAACACAAACACACACACGCACACACACACACGCGCACACACACACACACGCACACGCACACGCACACACGCACACACACACACACGCGCGCACACGCGCACACGCGCACACACGCACACGCGCACACGCGCACGCGCGCACGCGCGCACGCGC